TTCTGCTCCCAATTAACCTAATGACTCTACACAGCAAAGGCAGGATTGAGGCGTTTACCACCGGCTCTCCACACACGAACACGATTGTCATCACTGCCGAGATTGAATTACCGGCTATTGATCTGGATTTGTTGCTAAAGGCGACCTGGTTCCATTCCGCTGCAGTCCAGTTTCCTTGTACTTGACATTACTCCAAACGGAGGCGTCGATGGGTGGGCATCAAGGGCAGCACACGTAATGGGCGCCATGATACCAACTGTCCTTCAGCCAAGCGCCTTCGTATGGTTCGAGAAGACACAGGGATGAGTGAAGGTGTTACCTGTGCCTGGATGGCGGCCGATGAAGCAGTTGGCTGTACACGTGCATTTCTTACGATGTGGTCTTCTCGACGACTGGTCTGTCGAGGGCGTCCTGAGCCTGGTCTTCATGTTCATGACATCTCTCGGGTCCATTGGTCCCAACACCTCCTCACAACACAATCAGAGTAGCCTAATTGACGAGCTACTCGCCTAGATGACCACCCAGTTTCCATCATCCTGACGATTCTCCCCCTCTCAAACTGTGACAACTACTCATATTGTTTTCGAACACGACATAATGGCATGTCTACCTCAGCTCTTCCTTTGTAAATGATTCAGCACACTCAAGCAAGCTTTGGTTACCTGTTTTATACTCCACAGAGTACGACGTTCAACGCCCTCTACCGGCTATACGTAATGCGCAATCACGCTGCATTTCTAATCATTTGCATATCTCCCTGACATGTACCTTCATTGCAAGTTTCGTTAAGATCCCGCAATTATTTCTTGGTGCGCTAATTTTTTTGTCCATGAGTGTATGTTATGTAGTTCCTTGAAGAATTTAAGTACATCATTGAATGCACTGACACACAGCATTAATGGTTTGTTTTTTCACATTGCCATTATTTGGAACAGAACTATTTGACATATTTGAATTTATAGTACTATCATCAGTTTTGCCTATTGCCATACTGGCATAACTAGTACAAAAGACAACATGAGGATTCTTGTGTACAGTATTGTTATCAGCTACAAATTTTGGTACATGAGATTTAGTAATTGCATTAACAAATAAATGTCTTAATGGATGGAAATTTTGGACACCCACGATAGTTTGTGGTGTGTCCTGACTGTTTACACTTACAAAACATAACATTTTGGAGCCTTTTGGCCGTACAATTTTCAGTTTTGTGAGGCCCTGCGCATTGAACGCAACGGGGCTTCAATTTACATGTATAAGATGAATAGTGTTGGCAGTTATGACACTGCACAACCCTTCTAGGAGCATTACAAGGAGTAAACACTTCCATAGAAACACATAAAAATGACAAATCGTATATTTTACCAATAGCAGGTCGATTTTCTACTTGGATTTGGAAGAGTGGCATTGGCACATTAGTTTTAAATCTGCGCATTTGTGATACCTTAAGTACCTTATATTCAAGTTTTTACAGTTCCTCTTCAATATCATCTTTGGGACAGTCAATGGGGAGACCCAGAAAGACTACCTTAATTGGTCGTTCTAATTTTTTAGTGATGATGTAATGATAAATTTGTTTATCTTCCAGATATCTGGAGATTTGCCTATGATCAGCCTCGGATTTGGGGAAAAATTTTGGAACCCGCCGACAGCGAAATTGATTTCAGTATCAGTCTTGAGGTTTTTCACAAAAACAGAGAATACTTGGTTTGAACATGATAGGTTTAATTTTAGGGGGTACAACCCCCATAACATCGTGCTCACCCTATATGTTCGCATTGTCGGTATCATTAGAACTATTGCCCACATCTTTGTTAGCTAGACTTTCAAATTTATTACTAACATAAATGTCAATATTAGGTATGATTAATTTAGTTGGCTTGGCCACATTACAAAGGTGCTTAAAGCCATCATCATCATTTACATCGTTAGCACTGCGCTTAGATTTTTTAGGTAATCTCTTTGGTTTAGGATTAATAAAAGTACCAACATTCTGAGTATTAGATACACAATTTACATCCGTTTTAACATTGCATGGATCTGATTTAGCATTTTTAGTATACATAGAAATAACATCATAAGCAATATTATTACAAAACAATTATTACTACAATATTACAAACAAATTATTACACACCAGAAGATTCACACTTACCTTTAAATAGTTGTAAGAGTTCTTGGTATATTCCTTTTTGTGGTAACACTTTAACAGCATTTGTTTATCATGTTCATTAGCAGTGCTAGCCAGTGTCTCATTAAAATCCATATCCATCTCCATCTGTTTAATAGCAGAATGTGAATTTGTTGAGCAACAGTTACATAGTCCGCATAAGAGTATCTGCATTTAGTAATCCAATCCAGTTATCATCAAGCAATGCATTTGCACATTTACGAACTTCATCCAGTAGCCCAGCCACGTGGGCATGGACGACAAGAGCAGTATCCATATTGTTGAGTGGAGGAAGATTAATCTCCTCCATATGGCGTGTAATCCACCAAAATCGTAGATAACAGTTACCATAGCACAGAAATAATCATACACATAAACGACGTAATCCACAGGTAAGTAGAAAAACACTAAGAGATCACTATGATATTCTACTTCCACAGGAAAGTAGAATATCATCAGTCGCAAAGTGGATTTTGGAAGAAATTTGCCTTTGAGCAGGGTTCACTATTCACCTCAAGGTATAGAATTAGTGGTAGTAACCAAATGGGCAAAGGTAAATTAGAAACGTGAGATTACAGGAAGATATAAACAGTGTTAGTAAAAGACATTCTTGTTCAGAGTTTTTATTTTATTTTTTTTTTCAAATATTTCCATATGTAGAGGCTGTTTGAAGTTTAGGGAGTTGAACTGATAATCACATGAGGGCAATGTGAAAGTCAAACTGAATCCCCTAAAATGTTGTTTTTAGTTTTAAAAATATTACAAAAAAGAAAAAATGCTATTTTGGGGGTAATTTCCTGCAGGTAGTTAGTTACACAGACTAAACAAAACGCAGTAAAAATAAGTACAGAATAATTAAGACACAATAACACGCGAAACAAATACTAATTCTGAAGTCAAACAACAAAAATCAGCGTCAAACTGTGAAGGTTTGAAAACATAATGCTGATTTTTGTTGTTTGACAGAATACATAGATAAACAGCCTGTGTCTATTCCAAATTAGAAAACAACAATGGGTATCATAAGAGAATTTACAGATTTATTTAAAGATTAGCCAAAATTAACGCTTAGTAGCAATGTTAATGGAAGAAGGGCACATGACATATTTCAGTAAGTGTAAATGAGCTATTCCATAACTGAATGAGAAGAACTTGCTGTGTCTGCACAGTGAATAAATTTAGGGTCTATTTTTAGAAGAAAACAATAGTTAATTTCACAGATCATGCATGTTTAACCAAGTAGGAAAACATAAAATACTTGATGCCAAAAATGTTTAGGTAGAATTTAAAAATCCTGGTACAGTCAAAAGTCGTTAATCCGGACTCGTCGGGACTTCAGCCATTCCGGATTATTGATTTTTCCGGATTATAGATCATCAGTTTAAATCTCGTAAGATGGCATGCAGAAATTCTAAAATTAAAAATATGAAACTGTAATTTATGAAATAAAGAACAATTATGATCTGAAGGGTATCAAAATTTACAAAAAAAAAAAAAAAAAAAAAAAAAAAAAAAAAAGGCTTAATATTTATTTGTTTACTATATTAAACATTTCTTTCAATGTAAGTTGTTTAAGTTGCTTCGTTTTATGTGCTAATACTTTCTCTTTAATTCTATAAACAGACATAATTTCTTGTTCAGTTACAAAGTTCCGCTGTTCAAGTCCCGTAATTGCTGTGCCGAGAATACCGACTAACTTGTCAATCGAAATTTTTTTGTTTTCACTAACCTCTCTGTCACCTTCTTCATCTCTTTATCCATTTTTTTTTGCAGTAATTCCACTTTTTGTTTGATGGACATCGAAACATACTTTCGTTTTGTAGATCCTTTGGGAGCTCCAGCATCGGAAATTCTATTTGACATAATCGAAAGTTCAAGTTTACTTTTAGAAAATTGCTCTTACAGTCTGGAAAAAATAATAAGCCGGATCCAATTCGAAGATTAAGGAACAACGCAATCATCAACATCAACTGAAATAGATAATTTTAGCCTATACCGTCCGTTATACATTAAACGTGCACGCGAAAACGTATTCTGCACTTGCGCACACGCATATGCGCAGTCGTAAAGGTCTTACGCGCACGCGTAAACGCCTATGCGCATGTGTCAACGCGGCGCATGCGCAGAAAGTTTTCAGCTTTGAGGTCTGGATTATAGATCATTCCGGATTATGTGTGTCTGAATTAACGACTTTTGACTGTATATAATTTTACATTTGAACATTGCTCTGGGGGGAAAAATAAAGAGTTACAGATGCATTATCGAGACAGGATAAACAAGTATGGGAAGAAGATCAGTTGTAATATGTTAAAATCTGTTACAACAGACTTGAGAGAAACACCGATAAAAAACTACAAAAGAATGCAGAATTAGGACAAATTTATGCATATTTAAAGAATTTTGAGGCAGTAAAAAAATAGGACTTAAATGCATTATGAAGTAATCACCAGCCATCACAGCTGTTTTGAGATCAGAAGTTTTGTGAGAGATACATAATCCAATTTCAGCACATAAGCACATGTTCAAGACAATACAGAAAGTTACAGAAGCCATTTTCTTTCCAAAGTTGTGGCAAATTATGCAGAAATAAGTCCAGAGCCGTATCACATGGCAGAAGTGTAAATATGTAAATTTTGAGAGGCTGATAAATTTTACTTCTAAAAAAGTGTCAGTTAGCTTTATCGCTTTACTCATGTGGAACTAATGTGACGCTCTGTGCACACTTTACCACAATTAAACAACTTGTCTGATTTAATACTGCCACCAAAGAATAAATACATATAAAAAATGGTATTTCCCATTATTACTTATGGAAAAAAGACAAATACACTTGTTAAACATAAATATTTTATTAGGTATACATAAATAAAACTTTAAGTAAGTAAAAATCATTCAAACGCTTCAACAGAACTCTCACTTTCAGTCCTATCATTTAGTAAATGTCTTATACTGTATTTGCCAAATAATCTTATTTTCAGCACCAGTTACACTAACAGCCATTAGTGGATGCATAGCTGTTCTCAGACTTAAATATAAAGAAGGAAACATTATTTCTTGAGCTGCCAGGAGTTGCTTCATACGATGACGTTCCTGCAACACATGAATTCTAATTAATTAGTATTAATTCATAAAAATAAAAAAAGAATTAGAAAATTTCTTATTCTTTCAAGTTTTTAAAACTACCAGATAAGGTGATTTTTTGTGGAAAAAAAAAAGATATTAAGGTAAAAATAATTACAAAAATACAATTCAGTTCTAATGCACAGGGTCTTAATTTCTTTAAATGCTGAAAATAATGCATTTTTAAAGATAAAATTTCTAAAAATATGGAACATAATTTTAGGAGAATAGTTATAATACTGTGGAAATGATCCTACAAATATAAGAATCTAATTTTTATATGCTGTATATATTTATTGAAATTTTTTCACAACGCAGATCATATAAAAAGTTATTCTTTTTATATTTATTGACAACCTTGTATTCGGTGTAGATTTTGTAAAATTCCAATCGATGTCGAGGGCAAAACAGGTCCCCCTTCATCAGGAGAAAAAAATTCTGCAAAAGCGAGAAAGTAAATGCATAGACTCCAACCTTCAGCAAACCTTGTCAGTAGTCAACGCACGAACGACATTTTTACAACTTTGAAAATGTGCGCGTAGCGTATGTTGTAATTAACCATTCATTAATTTTAAATTAATAATTAATTGTAATCAATTTTATTACATTTAAAATCCATATACATATAAAACTGAATAATTAAAAATATACCTTGTAAATTATATGCACATTTAATTAGAAATTTTCTTTTAACTCCTCAAGCATTCACTAATAAAAAGTACTTCAAATCACTACTAATCATAGAAAAAATCAGAAGCTATAAATCATATCTTTATTCTGGATATGATTTCTACAGGGAAATAAAATTTAAATAACCAAGAATGATACATATAAGTATTAAACAAAATACGCATAATTTATGAATGCAAAGATTTATATGTAGCATGCTTAGCAAGCTTAAGTTCTGATTTTGAGAATGTTTTTTTATAACACAGTTCTTCATTTGCCTGCATATTTATTTTTTCAATCAAAACTGCTTCAAGAGTTTTAAGACCTAAATTTGGTCGAAATTCCGTCTGATTTTTTTTAACAATAGAAAAAATTCTTTCGCAAGCTGCATTTGAATGAGGTATTATTAAGACAGCAAGCATTACAGAAGGCAATACTTTGTATTTAATACACCCATTCATATTTTTTAATTTGGCAATTTCTCCCCATGCTATATCAATACGCAAATCTACAATTTCTTTCAAATCATCTACTTGATACATGGAAAATTCAATTTCTACTTGATTAAGACATTTTTCATCAATAATGGATGGAAAAGTATTCATCAAGTAAAGAACAGATGAAAATGAGACTTCAGTTCTCAAGTTGATGTCAGCAACTTCAGCATGTTTTAGAAATGGATCACTCAGTGGAAATTTATCAATTATATATGAACATGCAGTTACAAAAAAAGCTCGCACAGAATTGAAAAATGATTTCACTTCACTTTCATTCAACTTGGCATTTTTTAAAATATAGTCTTGTTTCCGCACCAATCACTAAATTTTCATTTTCTTTTTGTTTACTATACTTCTGAAATGGAATAGACGTTAGAGTAACATCTTCATTTTCTTTAGAAATTACTGATGGTTTTACGAATCTAACAAATAAATTCATTAAAAGTTCAAAAAGTTCTCTTCTCAATTTATGTATATAAGGAGCTTGTTGTTGCAAATTAATATTTACTGTTATAAACAAAGGCAAAGTATTTTTCAAAAATAACAAGTACAATTTGGTGGTCGGTGACTGTAAAATTTTTTTAATGTTTTGCAATCTCTTTCCTTCATTCTCACTGTTATCTGGTTTATCTCCAAAAAAATTTATCACAGCATCCCACTGTTCCAAAATCCTTGTTATAGATTCTAAAAGAGACAACCATCTCGTACTGCAATATTTCAAAATTTTATGAGATTTTGCATTCTGTCCCAAAATTTGTTGAGCAACTTTGAAGCTATGCTTCCGTTTCGAACTTTTCTCCAAGTAAAAAATATATATCTATTATCAACATTTCAATTTCTGAGCCAATTAATTTTTCAGTAGCTTTTTTTGCAGCTATATGCAAGAGGTGGCACGGACAACCTCGGGTGATTATACTTGGTTGATGCATTTTGATAAATGATGCTACACCTTTAAACTTTCCAATCATATTACTAGCATTATCTGAAGAAAATGATAAGCAATTTTTCCATTCTAAACCTTTGTTTTTAAAGTTTTCATTTATACAATTAAAAATACCTTCTCCTGTATTATTCGTGCATTCTAAAATAGAAATCAATGAAGTAATTATCACTCCCTTTTCTTTACTGTAGTATGTTATAACCAATGGGTACAGTTTGTTATCATTGTTATCATTACTTAGAGAAAATGATGTACTGCACACTGATTTTATAATATCAGCAACAGTATTTTCTGCAAGCGTTTTCACAATAGCAGCAGTTTTGGTATGACCGCAGCTAAATTTTTTTGCTATGGCAGAATCCGGAAACATTGCTTTGAAAAGCTCTTTGGAATGATCCGAAACAGAAAGCGGTAGATTATGTTCAATTAAAAAACGAACAAAATAGCATTCGGCTTTTATAGGATCTGTTTCATCATCTTTTATTAAGAAATTTGTTATTTCTTTAGATTTTACGGTGCCAAGTTCTATATGCTTTTGAGAAAACACATGCCGTTTACAGTCATCTTTTCCGCCATGAGCAACTGAGAAGTCTTTGTTGCATACACTGCAGTGTGCGTGATTCACAGAAATTTCGGACGCTTTAATGCATGGAAATTCTGAAGAATATGAATCTTTAAACTTCTGCTTTGATAATTTTGGCTTCTTCGTTCGAGGCAGCATTATGATTAAAAATCTTTCACCTGATTCACAGTTCACAAGACACACGCTAAGCTCTCGCCGTAAAACTACACAATGCAGCCGAATGCAGCCTAAACACGCATCAGCGAGGAACCTGGGAGACAGACAATTGGGTGGAACTATTGATAAGTCGTTAACGGTTGGAGTTACTGATCTACGATTGGCTAATTCTTCAAAACTAGGAACGCACTCAACACGTGATATATGATAACATGAGTATTCAGCCAATCATCGGATGAATTAGTTGGTTCCGTTTTGCGTACTGGTTCTCCTGCTCTTGTTTCTGTAAAATCCGTAGTTTTTTCCATACTTTTCGTAGCTCGTAGTTTTTCATGAATTTCCGTAGAAACTACGGAGAATCCGTAGTAGTTGGAGTCTATGGTGAATGTTAGTCATATTTATACCCTACAGGCGAAGAGTGGAAGAGCTGATAGTGCCATCTGTCAGCAGAAATAGTAACAAAAAATGAAGGGTTAAATTAGTAGAATTTTAAAGGCATTAGGCAAGACTGGATTGGAATTAAAGTCATTGACAAAACAGGATAAATTTTTGTGACTGTAAAAAGCTTCAAGAAAATCCAATTTGCTAATAGAATCAGCTTTCTAGATAACTTATGCAGAACCCAAATCAAAATTGTGATTGAACTTCCAACTATGATTAGCTATTGAAGATTTGTTAATTTCGACCCCATAAGTATTGCGCAAATCCGACACATGCGCGAGTGAAAATGCCAATTTTTTCACTTGTTCTGTAATATACTATTGCAGTTTTAGGTCTTTAACTTTAATTTCTAATTTTAAGACATAGAACAATGTGAAAATTTTAAATAAGTAACAGACAAAATGACAGTGTTACGTGCAAAGCATGGAAAATGAACGTTTATATTATAAAGAGAATGCGTCGAAACATTTTCATTTTTTTTTCTTTGTCTGTATTGTCTTATGTTTATCAGTTTTCAGATATATTATATAAAAATATTTGGTATTGGTAAAAATTTGATAATAAGTTAAAGAAATATCAAAACTGCTAAAATTTTTGGCAACACCCTGCTGCAGGTCACACGACTCCCTTAGAGGTCGCAAACCGCAGTTTAAGAAATCCTGGCATAGAATTATATTATTACATGCCTTTTATATGGATACATTAACATATTTCATGTTCAATTTTGAAAATACAAAGCTGTACCTATTATCAAGAATACTAGTGTTTAATTTTTAATATCCAACTAGTTTTTCTTTTTCCTGTTTTAAATATCAAGTAATAATTTTACAAAAACTACGACAAATTATTATCACTTTTAAAACTGTAACCAAAAACAACATTGTTCTTACTTTTGGAGCTTCAAAGCATGCAGGACAGTTTTCTGGTATAACTGGAAGTTTTTTCTAAAAAAGAAGAGAAAAATAAATAATGTATATTAGAACATTCTTCTAACATTTTGATTCCTCAAATGGAAGTGATCCAACAGCAGAGATCATTTCACTCTTCCAAGAACAAATTAAAACTTAATTTGAGCAACTTACCTCTTCAGCAAACCTCCTGAGATCCCTTTCTCTGACGAATACAAAGGGTCTAATTATTCTAACAGAAGAAGACCTAAGGAATCAACATAATATTGAATGAATGTGAACAGTTTCTTACATTTTTTAACATGTAAAAATTTTTGGAACATTAAACATCCGACAATAATAAATTTACATTATTGCAATTTACTTCTTAAAAAATTCAGATGTGTGATACACCAGATACATGTTACAATGAAACACTTACTTTGAAACTTTTCAGAGACTGATGTTTTAAAAGCAGAAATTTCTAGATGACAGTCTTTTTTAACAACATTGAATTATGAGAACTATGGCTAAGTAATTAAAAGACATTGAACTAGTGTTAAACTAAGTGCAATGACAGCTAAATAAAATTTAGATAAGCTGTGAAAAGTTTTGACTTATTCACTTCTACAAAGATTTAAACTGACATAACGTGTTATTCATATCAAGCAAAACTCATGAAAAAAATTATCAAATGAGAAGAATGCAATATGAAAATATAAAAATATTTTGCTACAAATTTTTTACATTCTGTCCTTTGCTCACTTACTCAGCATTTTCACATAGTGGCTAATTGGGTCACTTCATATCTGTTCATCTCAGGATATATAAATAAGTAAAATATTACAGCAAAGTAAAATATTACAATGTTTTTGAGTGATTCCCCCCTGCTTCTTTTTTGCTTCATCATGACAATGCAAATCCAAAGTAAATGTTTATTAGCCACTTTGCTGGCTCTTTTGCTAATAGGTAAGAGGTAGATTTATAAAAGAATTCTTTATTTTCTCTAATGTTATTTTAATATTATGGTTACCCTCCAAAACACCCACTTTATGTTGTTCACTATATAATTTAGGAGCAAGGTTTAAGGATAGCACTGACTAATCCAATTACCGCATTCTCAAAACGGCAGCTTTGCTTAGCCAGTTTTTATTCATTGTTTGTATTTGTCTCAGCAGTTTCTTACTACAGTCAAAAGTCTTTAATCCGGACGTCCATAATCCGGAATGATCTGGACCTCAAAACTACAAACTTTCTGCGCATGCGTAAACGCATAATGAGTTTACGCATGTGCATGATACATTTACGCATGCGCATTTAATGTATAACGGGCAGTATAAGCTAAGCTAAAATTATCCAATTATCTATTTCAGTTAATGTTGCAGATTGCGTTGTTCCTTAATCCTTGAATTGGATCCGGCTTATTATTTTTTGCAGACTCTTAGAGCAATTTTATAAAAGTAAGCTTGAACTTTCGATTATGTCAAAAAGAATTTCCGATCTGGAGCTGCAAAAGGATCTACAAAGCGAAAGCATGTTTCGATGTCCATCAAACAAAAAGTGGAGTTGCTGCAAAAAATGGCCTTTGTTTCTCTAACAATTCCAAAATCTGTTTATCAATTTCATGCTGCTCTGTGAAGAGGGGGGGGGGACGTCGCGGCGCGCAATGAACTGGAAGTTGATCTGTCAGCACTATCCTTATCTTCAGGGCAGATGTTTTTATTTTATTCGGCTTATAATTCCTTACTAAATGTAGTATTTCATCTCGATGTACTCCGTTTTTGATATGATTAAATCAAATTCCTCGTCATTAAAAATATTACGAATACACATCAAATAGTTTTCTGGTTGCAATTTTATAATTATGATTATGTGTAATGTATGCTTTACACGTGCGCGCGTTGAAAGAAATGTTTAATAAAGTAAACAAATAAATATTAAGCTTTTCTTTTTGTACATTTTGATACCCTTTAGATCATAATTGCTCTTTATTTCATAAATTACGGTTTCATATTTTTAATTTTATAATTTCTGCATGCCATCTTACCAGGTTTAAACTGATGATCTATAATCCGGAAAAAACGATAATCCGGAATCGCCGAAGTCCCAATGAATCCAGATTAAAGACTTTTGACTGTACTAGTTCTTTGATGAAGCATAATATCACAACATAAACTAGATTCTTGATAGCAGAGTCCTTTTTGAAGAAGCTAAGGAACATGAAGAAATGTGCAGTGCATTAGCTAGAATTCGAGCTTTGGCCCACATGATTGCTAGGTGGATATGCTTTAACTCTTTGAGGGCAGGAAAAGGCAATTATCTTTTTCATCAAAACTCATTTTATTTACTATATCAGGTGTTACAATGAAATTATTTGCGACAATTACACATATTTTGTCCAAGACGTGTGAAACAAATGACCACATCAGGTGGATAGTGTCAGTGACCACTGCCTACAGAACACATCCCTACAAATCAGTCTCTATGGCACTCAAGGAAACAGTTTTGCTGTTTCAAGCAGAGTGCAACTTTGCATGTGCTGCATTACCACACTGTTCTTACAAGCGTTTTCTTGGATGTGATGTTGTCTGCAATGGCTGATGCTTATTTTCTTGAAGACGAATTGCTGCATCAACTACTGGCTTACGTTTCTTCTTGATTGCCATCTAGTGAGCTACAAGGGAACTTCAGAAATGGCCAATCTTGAAAACCACTCGCACGAGTGAGTAAAACATAATATTGAATGAATGTGAACAGTTTCTTACATTTTTTAACATGTAAAAATATTTGGAACATTAAACATTGACAATAATAGAAAAGTTGGTTACTGTAGGTAACACTGGCCTTCAAAGAGTTAAATTACATCCCAAAGCACACAACGAGCGAGAAAACAGCTTGAAATCTCTTCCACTTAAAGGGCGACTGGGTAAGTGGGAATGCAATCGCCAAATCCTGATGGTGACGAATTATCACACATTACATTAAGTTCAGGTACCACAGCAGTCTTTTTTTGAACTTTCTGAAGCCAGGAAACATGAAAAAATATGGAGAGCCCTTGCTGGGATTTTAACTGCAGACCTTCTGATTGCAAATAGCTGGGCACACTTCCATGAAGGCATGCAAAAAGGAGGGAGAAAATACCTTACAGGTTTAGCGATTTTACTATTTTCCTTCATTTTTTTAGTATTTAATTTACAATGAACATAACTGAGCACTGATTTAACTCTTTGAAGGGCAGTCACCTTTTATATTGAACGTTTTACTCGCTCATGTGAGTTGTTTTCAAGACTGACCGTTTCTGAAGTTCCCTTGTAACTCACTAGATGGCAATCAAGAAACATAAGCCAGTAGTTGAATTCTCTCCCATTTAAAGGGAGACTGGGTAAGTGGGAACACAATCACCAAATCCTGATGGTGACGAATTATCACACACTACATTTTAAGTTCAGGAACCACAGCAGTCTTTTTTTTTTTAAACTTTCTGAAGCCCGGAAACATAAAGAAATATGGAAAGCCCTTGCTGGGATTTTAACTGCAGACCTTCCGATTGCTAATAGCTGCCAATTTGCCGATTTTCAATTTGCTTTTGCTTGTTTATTATACTAACATTTTTCACACTTATAGCATTTATTTTTTTATGTATTTGCTTTCCACAGGGGAAAGAGAATAATTCTTCCCTTATTTAAATTGCAACTTTTTAGTACGTGTAAATACATGGTGATTATTATTAAAGTCCCACTTTTAAAAGGCTGTTAAAATAGAACCACTGATTAAAGTGACTTGAATATACAAAAAGAAATGGGAATTAATCAGGCAAAAGAAAAAAAAAAAATGTTCAATATTTTATCAACAGATGATGTTGTGCTTGTCACAATATGCTAACTCAAACATGTGACATGCCCATCACATATTCAGACCTAAGAAAAACAGCATACATGCAATTCCCATTATTCCACATCTAAGAAGCTCGCCATGACTCTGAAAATGACAGACCGGGCTCTGTTTATGAAGCTTTCTTAGAAGAATGGTAACAGTGCTTCAACTGTCCTGAAGAAGATCCACATATTAAAACCGGTATCACATTTTCAAAGTACCCTCAACAAAGCAACGACAGAAACATTTACCATAATTTTCATTTTGAGGATTTCTGATTAACTGCAGGCAAAAACATACCAGAGGTAGAGCACATGGCATCTTCATATGACGAAGACAAATTCCAACTTACGATTTTTTTTTTTTTTTTTAAGTAACAAGTATCATTTAGATTTTTCACTTTCATTTCATAGATGAAATTAATAAAACAGCTGCAGTTCCATTCCAATATATGGCAATGAATACCAATAATTAAAGGGCATTGCATGCAATAGGCAATGATTTATCACTAATTAAAGGGACATTCCCATGAAGCTCTGGGTCTCATTTTTGACTAATAGGTTAAGTACCAATATATTATTATACATTCCTATTATGCCCAATCAACTTCAGTCTTTCCCTTCTCTTTCTCATATGCATATGCACACATACTCATATAAAATTACCAACTTTCTAGACCAGCCATGCGAAACTCCCCTAAAGCAATGAAAATGATTAGTATTTTACAATAATGCAGGCTACAACATAGAAAAAAAAATTCATACTTAGTGATATATTTAAAAAATGAGTAATTACAAAAAAATATATTATCTAATATCATAGGTCTTTAAAAATAGAAGGAACATAAGCAGATCCTACTAGTAGAAGGATAACTATTGTTTCTTTCCTGATGTTGCGAGCTCCATGATTTATATTTGTTAACAATATCAAACAGCTGTTGTTTTCCTTTTATTTTAGACGGAGTTTTGTTTTTGTAGCTTGACAACAGTAAGAAAGATTAAAATAATGTTTTAATTTCCTTAAGTGTGTAAGCAAATAAAAGTTTTGGCTATTTTATGCAAGAAAATGTAATTGTGTATTTAAAATATTTCTTTTCAACAGTTATGGAATAGAGCCAGATTTAATTTAACCCTTTGCGGCGCTTTATACGTTAACATCGCAATTTCAACAAAAAAAGTATGCAGTCTATTTAGTCCTAAGGGAAATTTTGTAAAAAATGCACTTACCGTTTTAATTCTATGGTTGTTCCATGAGGTGGAACACTGCGCCACCAGAGCTTTTAAAAGTGCGACTAAGCAAGCATTGCAGTGAAGCATGAAAATGAGTAGAAGTGTTTGTATAAGAATGAAAAAACTCTGTATTATGGCTGTATACACGGTTTCCTGGATATACACA